CAGGGTACAATTAAAATCTCCGGCCAACACTCCAAAGGAAACACAATGCTCATTGAACAGAGTTATCATTTTCGACATAAAAGCAGGAGTATCTGTGTTAGGGGCGTATATGTTTAAGATAGTAATTGGTTGCCCATACAGTGACCCAGTTATCAAGATAAATCTCCCCTCCGGATCAGATATGTTTTTGTCAATTATGAATGGAACATTCTTATGGATAAGTATTGCTGTACCTCTACTGTTGGATTTGAAAGATGAGAAATACACCTGTCCCACCCAAGCTCTGCGGAGTTTGGCATGTTCAGCAACACAGAGGTGTGTCTCTTGCAATAGCGCGATGTCTGCTTTTTCCTTTTTTAGAGCACATAGTATCTTTTTCCGTTTTATTGCATGGCCTAGACCGTGGCAGTTCCATGTCAATAGATTTAAGGTACTAGTCATCGTCATCGAACAGTAATCGAACTTTAGTGCAAGTCATCTCTGGGTAAAGGTGGATCGTAGTTACAGCTGCGTTCACATAAAAGGAAAATAAATGGTTTACATAAAATAACAATCTCTGAACACCCCAGCCGAGTTCCCAAACAACTCGACATATCCCGTTGGATCTATTACCTCCCCGCTCAGTCACAATTCTGTGTTCCAACAAAAAAAAAGACCGGGAACAGTTAGCAACGCACAACGTCTCCCCCTCCCCACCAAAGAAATGCCTCATCCTCTCCGCCCGCATTGAGTAACTGACAACGTAGCCCCCGTCCAGACCACATTAAGAAAGGGAGAAAATAAAATCAATAGCCCAGCCTACATACAGTAGGCCTAAGTTATAATATGGGGCCTATCCCTCTCAGCTAAAGGAACATAAATATAGATTGGACGGCTATAATGAAATTTAGCAGGGCGGTGGGTCTTTGGATATCGGCTATATGTTGTCTTACCTCCTTTAGTAATAACAGTAATCGCATTAATCGCATTTAGTCAATGGTCCATTTCTCATTGACCGGGGTTGTCTTTCAAAAAACGTTTTGCCTCTTCGGGAGTTTTGAAGTGTCGCAGGGCTCCTTGGTGAAGAATCCTGAGCTCGTTTGGGTATTTGAATCCCCTAAAGATGCCTCGGTCAATGGAGCATTTCTTCACCTCGTCAAACTCTCGGCGCTTTCGGCGTATTCCAGCTGACAGGTCCTGGAGTAAGGTGAGTTTGGCGTTTCCCACTGTAATGGTGTTGGTTTTCGCCGCCTGTAGGACTCGTTCCTTGTCGGTGAATCTCAGGAAACGTATGGTGATTGGGCGCGGTGGTTGTCTGGCTGCTGGTGGGGGCCTCAGTGCTCGGTGAGCTCTCTCGAGTTCTATGGGCCTGTCGGTGGACAGGTGGAGCCACTCGGGAAGTTTGTCTTGCAGGTAGCGGATCAGTGGCATGTTTCCCTCTTCTTTTTCGCCCAGATTTAATAGAACACAATTATTCCTTCGCCCCCTGTTTTCCAGGTCCTCTGTTTTCTCTTCCAGCTGCTCTATTTTTTTTTTAGCATATGCTATTGTTTCCATGGCGTCTGTCAATAAGTTTTCCGTGGATAGGATTCGCCCCTCTGCCTCGTCCAGGCGCCCCGCGTTTATGGTTATCTTGTTGTTTATGTCAGGCAAGGCATTTTCCAGGATTGTCACCTTGCCCCCTATCGCACTGAGCTGAGCGTTAATGGCATCTAGTTTAGTGTTGAGTTCTGTACGTTGGGATCTCAGCTCAGAAAAGATGTCTTCGACAGAGTGCGAGGTTGGCATTCGTTGGGCCTCGGGGGGGGACGGGTCCTCTTTCTCCTGGCTAATGGCGCTAGCTTTTTCTGAAGCTAGCTGCTTCTTGGAGGCTTTTTCCGTCGCTAGTACTCGAGTCCGGGTAAAAATGTCCCCTGTAGTGTTGCCTTTTGAAGCCGCCATGACTTTTTGACTAAAGCTAAATGAGTTTAAACTTGAAGTGGAGGTAAGATTAGGAATTGGAAACTACTTGTGCGGAGCTCCTAGTTCATGCGGCCATCTCGTTCAAGGGTCACGTGATCTCTCATTATGTGACTTCTGAAGGTAATTGGTTGCACCAGATCTTATTTAGGGGCTTCATAGCAAAGGGAGTGAATACATATGCACGCAAACCACTTTACCACTAGATATCAGTAAGTATCCAGACATTGCAAAAAGCAGTGGTTAGTGCTGGTGAAGACACCTTTAAAATCTGGTGGAAAAAGTCACAGTGAATCCCATTCAGGGTAAACCTGGCCCAAGGTATGCTTTCATCGTATTAGCATGCAGTTCCAAGAGCTTCAACTAAATGTTATTGTCTGCCATCTCTCAGGCAATGCGACGGATGCAGGCTTAGTGATTCATTATTTCTCTCACACTGTCCAATGTTCTCCCTCCCAGGCAGCCAGGCAGCTAGGAGCCTTATTGGGGCTGAGGATGGCTGTCAATCCCCTTAGGTTCTAATGAGCTTAGGCAGTTTGACATAGTGTTCTCTCTTACTATCCTCCCTGGGACTAGTCTCAGTGACAGATGCCTTCTGGAGAGCATCAGGACCACTCCACCAGTCTCACACCACTCTCAGTGTGTTACAGAGCTGCCAGTACAGAGTGTCAGTGTGTTGTGCACTTCCCCAAGGGTCCTGGAGACAGGAGAGGGTGCTAGAGCCCAGTGCCCGTCCCAAAATATTATCTTCCACTTGAGCTGACAGCACAGTGTCTGTGTGCTGTGCCTGGTGCTGTAGTCAAGTCACTAAACTGGACTTGAGTACTACAACACTGGCACTCCCCAGAGGGTCCTGAGAGAGGACTGGGTGCTAGTGCTCAGTGCCTGTCCCAAAATACCCTCATCCTCTTTGTTCAAGGTCACAATGCCACTGTGCTGTAGAGCTCCTACTCTAGAGAGACAGAAGGGATTGATGCTGATGGCTCCGAGAGCATATTAAATGTTGTTATCAATAGAGTATAACAGTGTCATATTTATTGCTGCCTCATATCAACCAATTTTCAAACAGATGACAATATGTCAATAGGTTATTACTCTGCTGTGCTACGCAGTTATGGTGGACGGTAACTAGTGAGTAGATGGACATTTGACTGCATACGTAAAGAATAATAGTTAGTCACCAACCTTTTTTTACTCTCAGTTTGAAAGGAAAGTGGGAGACTTGCACTACCAGTCAAAAGTTTGGACACACCTACTCATTCAAGGGTTTTTCCATATTTCTACTATTTATTACATTGTAGAATAATAGTGAAGACATCAAAACTATGAAATAACACATATGGAATTATGTAGTAACCAAAAAAGTGTTAAACAAATCAAAATATTTTTTTTATATTTGTGGTTCTTACATTTACAGTCATTTAGCAGATGCTCTTATCCAGAGCGACTTACAGTTAGTGCATACATTTATTTAATTTTTTTACATACTGGCCCCCCGTGGGAATCGAACCCACAACCCTGGCGTTGCAAACGCCATGCTCTACCACCTGAGCTACATCCCTGCCAGCCATTCCCTCCCCTCCCCTGGACGACGCTGGGCCAATTGTGCGCCGCCCCATGGGTCTCCCGGTCGCGGCCGGCTATGACAGAGCCTGGATTTGAACCAGGATCTCTAGTGGCACACCACTGCGCCACTCGGGAGAGTTCTTCAAATAGCCACCCTTTGCCTTGATGACTGCTTTGCACACTCTTGACATGTTCTCAACCAGCTTCACCTGGAATGCTTTTCCAACATTCTTGAAGGAGTTCCCACATATGCTGAGCACTTGTTGGCTGCTTTTCCTTCACTCTGCCATCAGACTCATCCCAAACCATCTCAATTGGGTTGAGGTTGGGGGATTGTGGAGGCCAGGTCATCTGATGCAGCACTCCATCACGCTCCTTCTTGGTCAAATAGCCCTTACACAGCCTGGAGGTGTGTTGGGTTATTGTCCTGTTGAAAAACAAATGATAGTCCCACTAAGCCCAAATCAGATGGGATGGCGTATCGCTGCAGAATGCTGTGGTAGCCATGCTGGTTAAGTGTGCCTTAAATTCTAAATAAATCACAGACAGTGTCACCAGCAAAGCAAAGCACCCCCACACCATAGCACCTCCTCCTCCATGTTTTACGGTGGGAAATAAACATGCAGAGATCATCCGTTCACCCACACCGCGTCTCACAAAGACACAGCGGTTGGAACCAAAAATCTCACATTTGGACTCCAGACCAAAGGACACATTTCCACCGGTCTAATGTCCATTACTCGTGTTTCATGGCCCAAGCAAGTCTCTTCTTTTTATTGGTGTCCTTTAGTAGTGGTTTCTTTGCAGCAATTCGACCATGAAGGCCTGATTCATACTGAACAGTTGATGTTGAGATGTGTCTGTTACTTGAACCTTCATGTCTTAAAGTAATGATGGACTGTCGTTTCTCTTTGCTTATTTGAGCTGTTCTTGCCATAATACGGGACTTGGTCTTTTTCCAAATAGGGCTATATTCTGTATACCCCCCTATCTTGTCACAACACAACTGATTGGCTCAAATGCATTAAGAAGAAATTCCACATATTAACTTTTAAGAAGGCACACTTGTTAATTGAAATGCATTCCAGGTGACTACCTCATGAAGCTGGTTGAGATAATGCCAAGAGTGTGCAAAGCTGTCATCAAGGCAAAGGGTGGCTATTTGAAGAATCTCAAATATAAAATATATTTTGATTGTTTAACACTTTTTTGGTTACTACATGATTCTATGTGTGTTATTTCATAGTTTTGATGTCTTCACTATTATTCTACAATGTAGAAAATAGTAAAAAGAAAGAAAAACCCTGGAATGAGTAGGTGGGTCCAAACTTTTGACGGGTACTGTATATAAGTGGACATAGTGGATGCAGAGCAGGGTTCAATCCCCCATTGCAGGGGGACGTGGTCCAGAGTCCGCTGTGTAAACCACTAGGCCTACGCCAAACTCTGACACATTAGTGTCTCTTTTAAACACCCCCTCTTCCCTCTCTGTACTGCCCCAGGAGCTGTGTAATGAGATGGACTCCAAGCTCCATGCCTACACAGACGTGAGGAACGCCATCCGCAGGATGCTGGAGAGCAGCAACGTGACCCGGGGCTCCAGCACTGAACACAGCCTCTGTATCCTGGAGCAGAAGTGGGCTACTGTCTATGGGAAAGTACAGGACCGCAAGGTGAGAGTGAGACCTAGCCTGCTCCCAGATCTATGTGCTTTAGCCAACTCCTCTGGCCATTGTTAACATTACATACAGGGTTGTGTTGATTAGGGCATGCAACAATGTTTTAGCTACAGAAATGAAAATGAGCATTTCTTATTGGACCTTTTTCAGTCAGTTTTCTTCCGTATGGTGCCTATTGAACACAACCCAGATCTGGGACCAGGCTAAGTGACACCAATGAGGGGCCTAAGAACATGATGATTAACTACAGTATGTTTGTGAACAACCTGAGTAAAAGTGTGGTATCGGTTTTGTTCCTAGGCTAAGCTAACCGAAGGGTTGAGCCTGGCGAAGGAGTTCCACAGTAATGTCCAGGAGCTGCTGACCAGGATGGCCAAATGTGAGGAGGCCATAGGAGTCCTGCCTGCCCCCAGCTTCATCCTGGACACGGTCTGTGGCCAGCTTAAAGACCACCGGGTGGGTTTCTGTGTGTGTGTGTGTGTGTGTTTGTCTGTGCCTGCCTGTGAGTTTGCGTTTGTGTGTCTTTGTGTGTGAGAGTATGTGTTTGTGCGTATGTGTGTGCATGTGCGAATTATGTTTGTGTGTATATGATAAATCATTTCCCCCCTCAGACTCTGGTGAGTGAGGTGAACTGTTATGGTGAGAAGAAGACGGTGGTGGAGAGTGCAGGCTCCAGGCTGACCGAGCTAAGCAGGAAGGAGGACTGTGACGTGGTTCACAACCTGGTCATGACCGTACAGGACCGCTACAGGAAACTCCACCAGCGCACCACAGAGAGGGGCCGAACACTAGAGGATGTCAAGAAGAACACAAAACAGGTATAGATACAGAACCATCAGATATTCTCTGAAATATATGTTTTTTGGTAATTATTAATCTGTATTTTCCACCCCACATAATCAATTTCTCAACATCCTCTATCTATTAACTCATAATAACCCTCCAAACAGTCTTAATGCCTCAGTTTCAATAGTCCAACTTAGAAGCGCTCTCATGATAACAAGCATGTGCTATCCTCTAATATTTCAGTTCAGTGAATCTTGGCGCCTCCTACTGGACTGGATGACTGAGGTGGAGCAGACGCTGGACACACATAAAGAGATTGCTGTGGACCACGAGGAAATTAAACTGCAGCTTACCGAACAGAAGGTAGGCCTAAATAAATTATATAAATAATTGTAGCTCTTGTCAATATTGTTCTAGCTTGGAATGTATATTTTAAATCCATTGTTTTTGTCAAAGGGATAGTTCAGCAAAATTACATATTTCACTGAACTATCCCTTTAATTACTGTAATTACTATATATGCTCCTAGGACTTCCAGAAGCTTCTGCGCTCGAAGCGACCCATGTACGAGGCCACTCTAAAGAGTGGGCGGGGCCTCCATGAGAGATCTCAGAGCGCCCAGGACAGACAGCACCTGGAGAACCTACTCTATGAGCTCCGGGACTCATGGGATACCATCAGTGGCAAATCCATGGAAAGGTGAGGGACACAATGCACTGATGAGAGAAATAGCATTTCCACACACCTAAAAGTATTTAAAACACTGGTCCCAATTCGCTCCCAACCCCTTCCCCTAGGCCTTTGATATCTGTAGATCTGAAGGGATAGGATAGGTTCAATCCAAATAGTTGTGGACCATCCATAATTTTGCTTCCACCTTACAGATCTGCAAACATTGAAGGGATCTGCAAACATCAAAGCCAAGAGTAGGGATAGGGAGTGGATTGTGACCGGAATCAATTTGGGCAACATGGTTGGCCAACTTTGACAGAGTATATGATCCAATTGAATTTTCCTCAGGCAACACAAACTGGAGGAGGCACTGCTGTTTTCAGGCAGATTCACAGATGCCCTTCAAGCCTTGAATGACTGGTTGTACAGAGCAGAGCCACAGCTGGCAGAAGACGTACCTGTCGGTGGGGAAAAAGACATGGTCAACAATCTGATCGACAAGCACAAGGTCATTTTTTATACATTCTGTGTATGTGATTCGATAAGATATTGAGGCTTTCCTATGGACACCATAAAAATACCTTTCTTGAGGCGTCACCTGTAAGCTGTATGACAGCAATACAGGGTATGAAATTCCTCTCAAGCTGACATTCTCTTGGACTCTCTTGTTTCTCAGGTGTTCCAGAAGGAGTTGGGGAAGCGAGCCGGGTGCATTAGGACCCTGAAGCGCTCGGTGAGGGACCTGACCAGGAGCAGCACTGCCGATGCCCATTGGTTGCAGGAGCAGATGGACGAATTGGAGGGACGCTGGGAGGAAGTGTGTAAACTGTCCGTCTCCAAGCAGGCCAGGCTGGAGGCAGCCCTTCAACAGGTAAGTCACCATACTGTCTTATTCACATTTTACGATCACATTTTACTTATCTTCATTGTTATGGTATGTAATTGTATAGTATGGACGGGTATATCAAAGTCCACATCTCGGATGAGCCCCCAGAAATTGTCCAAGACAATTTCCCCCCCGTTTTGGACAATAAAGTATATCCTTTCTAAGCACTTTACTTAAAGCCTGCAGGTATAATGATTTATGACTTGTTATAAACATGCATGAGGCTTTATAATGTCTTATGTCTCTCTATGAAGGATGGTTTATCTCATTGTCTTTTCATATGTGTGTCTCTGTCAGGCTGAGAAGTTTGACAGGTTGGTTCACTCCTTCCTGGAGCATCTGGCGGAGGCAGAGAGGGTGCTGAAGTACGGGGTCATCCCTGAGGAGGAGGAAGCTCTGCTGGCCTTCCGCAAACAACATGAGGTAGGTAGACATTTGGGCTTAATATGACTGTAGCCTCCATTATTAAGGTGTATAAATATCATAATAACAATTCACATCAGGGCTTGTAGAGGTTGCAAGATACAAGTTATAAAAGCCTGATGCTTTATCTAGCTTTTTATAATAATAATAATAATAGTACATGGTATTTATGAAGTGCTTTTCAAGAACCCAATGTTGCTTTAAAATTGTAGAAATGAAAAACAAGAAACTGAAATCAAAACAAAACCAAACTAAACAAAAGGACAAAAACATGAAACAAAGAGCAGGGTCTGGGCTCAAGGAATGGAAAAGGTGTGGTGTCAGTGCATGACTGAGCAAGCGGGGGGGTGGGGGGGGTTGGGGTTTAAGGGTAGGCCACGGTGAAGAGGTAGGTCTTTAGACGGGACTGAAAGATGGTGATGGACTCAGAGGGAGGGAGGGAGTTTCAGTTCTGTGGTTGCCTTTTCAGTATTTACTAACTTTCAAGATACCAAGCTGCAGATCATTTTGTATTTACTCATAGTTTTATATTTTGATGGCATTACCCAGTAGACAGGGGGGTGTATTGAGTTCTGTGTTTGTGTCCAGGAGTCAATCACTTCCCTGCGCTCCCAGGAGATGGAGCTAGAGAGCATCCAGTGTCTGAGTGAGGAAATCCTGTCCTCCTGTCACCCAGACTCCATCATCACACTCAAGTCCTGGATCAGCGTCACCAAGACCCGCTACGAAGAGGTGAGTCCACTCTTACCTACTTAGGACATTACGTAGGACAAAAATATAATGACTATGACTTAAACGTTGTGTCAGTGTAGCCTATTTCTATTAGGTATTTAAATGAGCCTGTGCGGAGTCACCAGAAAACACTAACATCCGGTTTTGTGCTAGCCGGTGCAAAGGGAATGAGTGAGACAGCCTGTCAGTCATTCTGCAGTCAGTCAGTCTGCAGTTAGTCAGTTAGTGGTGATTTTCTGTTAGGTGACTTGTCTTGCTGATTCCCCGTAGACAACACAGAATCCAGGTGTGACTTTTTGCTGGTGTTCCCTCTCTCTCTCTGATTCAGGTGCAGACGTGGGCCCAGCAGCAGGGCCAGAGGATCCAGGCCAGCCTGTCTGCTCTGGAGGCTGAGCGGGAGAAGCTGCAGCGCCTACTGGACTGGATCTCATCCGCCGAGGAGGCCCTCAACCTCAGAGACCAGGAGCCACCGGCTGAGAGCATAGAACACAACCAGGAACTCATCGTCCAACACATGGTATAGTACATAAACACAGAGTTTGACCATACCATATAGTCTCTACGAGCTACAAACCATACAGAGCACAGAACTAACAAACACAGCTAAACAGTTTCCAATTCACACAGTATACAATAACCAAATACATTTACATTTGACATTTTAGTCATTTAGCAGACACTCTTATCCAGAGCGATATACAGTTAGTTAGTGCATTCATCTTAAGATAGCTAGGTGGGACAACCACATATCACATAGTAAGCACATTTTCCCTCAATAAAGTAGCTATCAGCAAAGTCAGAGCTAGTAAGGGGGAAAAAAAGTCAAGTGCGAGTATTAGTTCACAAAATACTGTTCAAATTATTTTTAGTTAAGACTCAAATAATAACTCACCATTCCTCCCTCCAGGTATTCATGGAGGAGCTGAACCGAAAACTACCAGAGGTTGAACATGCCACAAAATCCTGCAAACAAAAGCTGATCCCCAAACAGCAGGCTTCACCGTGCCGCAAGGCACTGACAAGTGAGTGAAGGGTTAGCAACCACTTGGCTTAGGGACTTTGTATTATATTGAAAACTTGTTTTACTTACAGCACTATGCTGAGCCATCTTAAAATGTTGACGTGCACATTTTTTGAGGGATTATGTCAAACATGGTCTGATTTTACATTAAAGGCCCAATGCACGTAATTTTCCTGTGTTTTATATTTCCACACTATGAGGTTGGAATAATAGTGTGAAAATGATGATAATGCCCTTTTAGTGTAAGAGCTGTTTGAAAAGACTACCTGAAAGTTCTGCCTATTTTGATGGGATTGAGTTTTGGCCTGCCTATTGACATCACCAGGCGGTAAATTACTTAAAAGACTAAAGAGAGTTCCAAACCTCTCTGCCAATAACTGCTAGTTTTCAAATCAAATCAAAACACATTTTATTTGTCACATGCGCCGAATAGAACAGGTGTAGACCTTACAGTGAAATGCTTACTTACAAGCCCTTACCCAACAATGCAGTTTTAAGAAAGAATACCAAAAAAAATCACAAAAAAAGACAATATAACATTATATGAAATAAAAGTAACAAATAATTTAAGAGCACCAGTAAAAATAACAAAGATAGTCTGGGTAGCCATTTGATTAGATGTTCAGGAGTCTTATGGCTTGGGGTAGAAGCTGTTTAGAAGCCTCTTGGACCTAGACTTGGCGCTCCGGTACCACTTGCCGTGCGGTACCAGAGAGAACAGTCTATGACTAGGGTGGCTGGTATAGAGGTCCTGGATGGCAGGAAGCTTGGCCCCAGTGATGTACTGGGCCGTACACACTACCCTCTGAAATGCCTTACGGTTGGAGGCCGAGCAGTTGCCATACCAGACAGTGATGCAACCAGTCAGGATGCTCTCGATGGTGCAGCTGTAGAACCTTTTGAGGATCTGAGGACCCATGGCAAATCTTTTCAGTCTCCTCAGGGGGAATAGGTTTTGTCGTGCCCTCTTCACGACTGTCTTGGTGTGCTTGGACCATGTTAGTTTGTTGGTGATGTGGACATGTGGACACTAAGGAACTTGAAGCTCTCAACCTGCTCCACTACAGCCCCATCGATGAGAATGGGGGTGTGCTCGGTCCTCTTCTTTTTCCTGTAGTCCACTATCATCTCCTTTGTCTTGATCACATTGAGGGAGAGGTTGTTGTCCTGGCACCACATGGCCAGGTCTCTGACCTCCTCCCTATAGGCTTTCAGTCCCCCCTCCCCCCAATCAGACCACTCCCAGACAGTCCTTGCAAAATTCTTGCTTGAGAAATTGCTCTTTGCTATTTTTATTTTATTTTTGACCACAGTAAGGTACTTCATTGTTAGCCAGAAATTATTTGATATTGAGATAAAAAATATGTGTTTTTTTAAATGTAAAATGCTTGTTGAAGTTTGTATCTACTGAGCTAATTGAGGTATCCATCTTCCTGTGTTTGCTCCAGAGAGGAGGAGCACTCTGAAACTCCAGCCTGCAGTAGTCCCTCTCCCCCTGGAGAACCTGGACCCTCAGACACCTCAGCTGTGTCAGCTGGTCAACCACTGGCAGAAACTCTGGCTCCTGGCTCTGGCCAGACAGGGCCGCCTAGAGCAGCACGAGCAGAGACTCCAAGAGGTGACTGGCACAACATACCGCCACCTATGTCTTAGCTCTTTGCTTCACAGCAGTATGCTGCGTTCCCATACATGCTTTATGAATGTAGTTGTAAACGTTTGTGAGCAGCTATTGGTGCATTAAAGTGCATTAGCTAATAAGACATTGTAAAAATGCGTTATGAAGAGGGTATTCATTGGAAGTGTTACCGAGTTTCCCTTTCAATAGCTTCAAATCTGAATCAAAATTACTCTTTGTACAGTGTTAATGTAATTTCTCACTAATATTATTGATTTTCAACAAACAGATGGAGGAATTTGCAAATTTCGACTTTAATGTCTGGCGCAAGCGCTACATGCAGTGGATCAGCCACCTCAAGTCTCGGATCTTAGATGTGTTCCGTAACATCGACAGGGACCAGGATGGACGAATCAGCAAGAAGGAGTTAATCGACAACGTTCTGGCATCCAGTAAGCCCTGCCCTCATCCCCACTCCCAGCCTCTCAGCATCTGTCACTCAAACCCTACATCCATTTAATCAATATCAACGGCCATTCGTTATTGATTTAATTTATGTATAAAACTGCCACTTGGTACTAATGTCCTGGAGATAACGATGGCCTTATTTAATCAGCAGAAACCTTTGATCAGTCTGTTATTAAAATGTTATTGAAATGTCAGCATCTCCCATCACTGATTCAAAGTCTAAAACTTAAACAAATCCACATTAACAAATCCACATATTACATTTTATAACATTTTGTATTCCTTCTCCTTCCTGTTTAGAATTCCCCACCAACTCCCTAGAGATGAATGCAGTGGCCAATATCTTTGACATGAATGGGGACGGCTTCATTGACTACTATGAGTTTGTGAGTGCCCTCCATCCCAGCCGGGATCCCTACAGGAGGACGCTAGATGCAGATCAGATCAATGAGGAGGTAAAATGTCACCCAGAGTTGTTTTCATGCCCATGATCTTCAACGGTGTAACAACATGCAGTTCAACGTATTACACCTAAAGACAGTTGTGTTTGATGAAAGTTGTCTGACTGACTGACTCCCATATCTCTCTCAGGTGAGTCGACAGGTGTCTCAGTGCAACTGTCCCAAGAGGTTCCAGGTGGAGCAGATCAGTGCCAACCGCTACAGGGTGAGTGACCTTTAAGCTTTGATTGTATTTCGGTCATTGTAACAAGGAACATGTGTTTAACTGAACCCTGTGAAAACATTGGTTATATGGTTGTTAATGCCCGTGAGAAATGCCAGACTATTAAAACCAGTTATGTTTTTTGTTGGTCTCTGCTGTAGTTTGGGGATTCCCAACAGTTGCGGATGGTGCGTATCCTGCGCAGTACCCTGATGGTACGGGTGGGAGGAGGCTGGACAGCACTTGATGAATTCCTGGTCAAGAACGACCCTTGTAGAGGTTAGTGGAGACTTAAAGTAGGACCGCACTGATTGACAAATAATTCTCAAATATAAGGTTTTAACTTTTTGTTTATTTTTGTCTTAGTCTTATCTTGGATGTTGTCATTTCATCCAAACTGTTTTGAAGTTTGTTAGCTGGTTATTTAGCAACGTCCAGAATCTCCACTAGAATTTAGCAATGCTAGTGGAAACAGCTTGTATCAGTTATTAGCAATGCATTCAAAAGCATGGGGACAGCGGCCGTGGGGACCTAAGAAGCACTCTGCAGAGCTCTTTCCCAATGCTTTTAATACATTCCATTTCCACTAGCATTGCATCCACTACATCCTCCAAAAATGCTTTCTTTAATGAAGCCAGATTCATAATGACCATTGATGTCTGTTATTTATTTCACAGTGAAAGGTCGGACGAACCTAAAGATAAAGGAGAAGTATTTATTCGACAACTCCCGGAGAGGAGGCTCATCTAAAACCCTGACGGTCAGCAGGTCCAACTCCAGCCTGAGTCTCTACAGCAGCGCCTCGGCTCCAAGCAGCCCCCTAACACGCAAGGTAAGATCCCCTCCATCATAGTGTACTATCAGACCCCGACACAGTAATATCACTACCTTTGTATAAGCCCACAAACCAACAAGATAAGATCACCTCCATCATAGTGTACTACCAGACCCCGACACAGTAATATCACTACCTGTGTATAAGCCCACAAACCAACAAGGTAAGCTTACCACTGTAACTTTGTACTAGCCCCAAACCAACACACTCACCTTTGTAGTAGTATGATAGTCCTCAAAGCAATATGGTAAGCTCACCTATTCATGTCATTGAGATGGCTAGTATCATGGTTAGTTCATCTCTTCTCCCATGTTCCAGGCCTTACTGCGGAGGAGTCTCTCAGGCGACCGCTGCATCCGGCCCAGGAGCTCCATAGCTGCTCTGGGGTCAGATCTACAGTTCTCCACTGCGGGAGATGATGATTCTCTTTCACCATCAGGTGTGTACAGTAAATCAACCCTCTATGAACAGAATTGGACTTGCAATTATAGTACAGTTCAAATTAGTTCAACATGATAGCCCTTCCATTGACATGATGGCTTTTGTTTTTCATCTTTTCAGAGGAGGCTGAAAGACTGCCCACATGATGAGGAAGGTATGTCCACAACGTGCATCATGTGAATACTACAGAGATTATCTCCATTACAGCCTTGGGGTCCAGAGAGAGAGATGGAGAGAAAGAAAGAGAGAGAGACCAATAAGACAAGGCCTCAGTCACAACCCCATAGACTGCCACTAAGGGAAACTCCACAACCTTCAGAAGTGATACAAAAGGGCCAGATACTGTATTGGACATTGGACACTGTGTTTGTAGGCTCTGTGGAGAGCCTCCGATTGATCAGCTAGGGTTCTGGACATGACCTCTGACCTAAACCTGGGCATATCCCACTACTCTCCTCTCTGAGTCATTGTATTGATATAGTCATCATTTCGATCATCTATATCAATATACAACTTCAACACTGGTTTTCCGAATATGACATAGTATCCGAGAATAGAGATATTGGAACAGTCTGCATGGATACGAATCGCATGACGGCTATCAGTATAGCTTACAATCTAGCTCCAATATTTGTTTTACCCTGCACCCTTATAATGATGTCAGGGAAAGCTGCGATCAAGCAACGGTGTGGCCTGAAGCTAAATCACAAAACTCTACAAGAACAAACACGTGTGTTAGCAGCAACTGGATTATCATTTTCTAAGCTATATAAAGTCAGGATTTCATCAGCGACCGTCATAATTAGTTCCTTTATGTTACTGTGTGTACAGCATTCCTCCTTTGAAATAAGTGGGTCTGTAAAATGCGCTCAAATGCAAATACGTGAAGGTGTGTAAGTAGGCCCTGTATTTAGTTACAAGACACTGACTGTCCAAAAGATGAGGATGCCAAAACCTACATTCCATTTAATTGTTTACTTCAACTCAAAGTTTTAGCTAGTTTTTATTTTTTCAAAATACACTTCAATGTTCTCTAGCTCGGCAACTGTATGTATGGATTTCTACCTTGACCGTTGTAATAATTTTTCCATGACATAGTAGGAAACAATAGCCTGGTCCCAGATCTGCTTGTACTGTTTCGCCAACAACGTCCATAGGAGTTGGCAAGACAGCACAAACAGATCTGGGACCAGGCTAAGGAAACACTGCTGGCGGGGCCACATTGCTGTTTCAACTTCAACCTGAACTGGTTGGTAAAGGTTTCTTTTTAACGTCCTGTAAGTATTGTTTTAAATGCTACATTTTAAGATCAAAACATGTATGAAGATGGGTATGAATCATTATTTTGTTGAGATTATTTTCTCAGGTTTGGTTTTGCCTTTTGATGTTTAAGGGTTCAATGTTTAAGTGGAACATTACTGTGAGATTGTAGATGTACTTTTTATGTTACTGCTGTATAGTCACTGGAGGTTTTATATGGCAGGACATTTGAATGGCAAGTTGTGTTCTTCACACATGAACTTCTCCCCATGAAATGCACTTTACCGAACTACAGTCAGTGCATCGGTTTGGTTCTGTATGTGTGGGGTGGTGACACATTTTCTGATTTAATTTACTTAGTTTCAGTGTTTAGGACTAGAGAAATAGACTGACGTTTATTTTATTTCTGATGAACAACTGTATTTCAATAGGGTTTCACAGGGTGTGACCCTCCCAAAATACAAAAAAGTGTAGTTCTCAATGAGATCTTGACTTTCTTTCCTCCATTTTATCTTAATTCAGACTATTTTATGCAAACCAACACATTCATTTGTCTCTTTCCTCCTTTTGAGCCTAGGCATAAAAGCAAAATGTCCCACCTATAGCACACGTTCCCCACGTGTCTCTCAAACAATTACACCTCTGCATACAACAACTATCAGACAAAGGATTGATGCCATTCACGATGACTGTGCAGGTGCTACAATTCATATCAATATTATAAACCCAAAGAAAACTGTATATCACGTGACACGCTTGTGAAAGTCTACACCAGGGCTGCCCAACCCTCTTCCTGGAGATCTACCGTCCTGTGGGTTTTCAGTCCAACCCTAATTTAACACACCTGATTCTACTTATTAGCTGCTCAACAAGACCTTAACTAGCTGAATCAGATATGCTAAATTAGGGTTGGACTGAAAACCTACAGGACAGTAGATCTCCAGGAAGAGGGTTGGGCAGCCTTGGTCTACACCCTCAACTCTACCTCAAACAGATGAGGCATGAGGCTTGAGGCTGACGATGTCTTTAATGGACACTGTACATTATTTTGTCTATAGGTGTGTGTGGGTATGTGTTAAGTGTGGGTTTTCGTTTTTATTAAGACTGGTCCGAGAAGGGTTAAATCTTACATGACAAAAGCAGTGGATTGTGTACTTTACATGTGTGTACACAAAAAGGTTTGGGCTTATGCAGTTCTGATTAAGAAAAACTAAATACAAAATGTCATACTCCTTTGTTCCGATTCATTCCATTGTCATTTTACGCTTCAATGTGAGAATGTTGGGCAATACATATAACTTGAATCTTAATGTACTGTAAAACACAATGGCCAGATTCCTCTACTGCTATGCACCCCTATCTTTCTGTACTGTAAATGTCCATTTCTATATCCAGCACTTGTTCTGGTATCTAATTTAGGAACACTGTAGAAGAATATCACTAATAATGTTTTAAGTCCATTGTAAAATAAACCATTTGTAATGAAATGAAGAACATTTCTCATATTTTATTACACACTTCTTAGCTTGATTTCCTATAATTTATTTCTGACCTTGAGACATCATCACTGCTACATTTAAACACATGGGGTTCAAAACATTGTTTTTAAAACAAATATACCATATTCTGTAGGCTAATAATGTATGTATAGTATACTCTATGTTAGTACTCTTTGAAATAATTTAGAGACAGGAAAACATCCTGATAGCTGAAGGATACTGGTCACGATACATACATAAAATCAGGGAATAAGCTATTCTTAGTCTCAAATGATCATGTCTTTTGTTCCTTTACCTAATAAGAGTATAGAAGAACAACATCTAACATAATTCCCAGGTGGTCATCTTACTCTGTAACCTTTGTTTTTGCTTTCTCTAAACTAAGACCCTTCATAAATGTCCAACTTCCTACTAATACATTTCACTTTCACCCAAAACGCACAAATATGTATTGTGCAAAATGGAGCCACAAGACCCAGCAGAAAGAGAGAAGGGGATGAAAACGGATGAAAACAATTGTGTTTCCACACACACAGCCAGCACCAACTCAGGTCATGAGAGTGACCTGCTTGGCCTGAAGTGAAACCACCATAGTGTCCTGTGACTGGACCAGTTCACGAGTTCCCACCAGACCTGGGTTCAAATAGTATTTGCGTTCTCTCAAATACTTTGATCTAGGGCTCTATTCAATCTGTAAAGCTGAAGCGTTCCAGAATCCATGATAGAAATGTAAAGGTAATTTCCAATTGAGCCGACAAATGCAGCGTTTACCGTGAATGCAGTCATCCTAAAGCGAGAACATTGCCTTTAAATTTCAATCACGCTGTAAAACTGAACTTCTGCGGTGCGGATTGAATAGAGCCCCGAGTTGTGTTCGATTGAGCCTGCTTGGAGTGCTAGATGGGTGGTGTTTGCAGTTTTAGGACTATATTTCATTGTTAATTCCATTGCGCCAGGCAAGCTGAAATCAAGCGCAGCTAAAGTATTTGAATGAAGACATAATGCTATTTGAACCCAGGTCTGGTTCCCACACACACATCAAAATGCAACATCAAAATACTGTTCTCTAAGTGTTGAAGCATGACATTGTCTAACAAAACAACATCAGGACAGTTATGATACCCTATCAAGGGTTCAAAATAGACCAATGTTCTGTTCTCCCTAGTCGTTAACCCTTCACCTCTGGACAGAGGGTGTCTCAGTCAGGATAGCACATGATGTGAATGTCCTGCAGAAGGACCAGAGGGAGTTGCAAAACAAAATCAGGTGAGAGTTGGTTATTGACTGTACCGCTGTAGCTATACAGGATGGTATCTGTAATGTTGGGAAACATGTTTGCCATATTAGGCTGTATACCTATTTAGTAACGCTACTCAGTGCCTCAGCATCTTAGGCAATTGACTTTGCTGACTATACTTTTGAGTGAATGTGCCCAATGAGAGCAAATTCCTCCAGGCAGACCATGGGCTCCTTCAACTGCAGAGTCAAGTGGGAGTAATTTTGTCCTACTTGGCAGACTCAACACTCTCACTGTGCTGATAATGAAGGAAAGAACAATGCCTTGCAGCTTGGATCCCTTCCCAAAGACAGGAAAGAGCTAACTTAATGAGAGTCCAGTGAACTGTGTTACTGAGGATGGTTCACAATTCACAGCCAATCACTGCCTGACATCCACCTTAATCCCATGGCTATAGGGCGCATGAATCAGACAAATCATCCTGGATTACAAAAAGTCAATCTTAGCAAATGTTAACAAAGGCGTTTTCGTAACTCTATAACTTTATCAGATGAAAAGTATAAGCCCTGCATGAAAAGCTTGCGAAATAGAAACAAATATGTTAGGATAGGTTAAGCAAGGGTGGCAGGTGGGCAGAGGTGGGCAGTGGGTGAGATGGGTGGGCATGTGGGTGGAGATGGGTGGGCATGTGGGTGGAGATGGGTGGGCATGTGGGTGAGATGGGTGAGAGGGTGTGGCAGAGGTGGAGATGGTGGGCAGATGAGGTGGGTGGGCAGAGGTGGAGATGGGTGGGCATGTGGTGGAGATGGGTGGGCAAGTGGAGATGGGTGGGCATGTGGGTGGAGATGGGTGGGCAGAGGTGAGATGGGGGCAGAGGTGGAGATGGGTGGGAGGGGTGGAGAGGTGGGCAGAGGTGGGTGGGTGGCAGAGGTGGAGATGGGTGGGCATTGGTAGAGATGGGTGGCAGAGGTGGATGGGTGGGCAGAGGTGGAGGTGGGTGGGCAAGTGAGGTGGTGGGCGTGGGTGGAGATGGGTGGGCAAAGGTGGAGATGGGTGGGCAGAGGTGGAGATGGGTGGGCAAGGTGAATGGGTGGCAGAGTGGAGTGGTGGGCAGAAGTGGAGATGGGTGGGCATGTGGGTGGAGATGGGT